TGTGCCTCCTCCTGGCACTCATAGAGGGCATTAACAATAGGCAAGTCTCCCTCCGAGTGGAGGTATGCGCCTTCCTAAACTAATATATGTATATCTAAAAGTCTAATGAATTACAAAAAATTTTAAATAAATAGAAAAAGAGTCGCTGAACCCCAAAATCTGTAAACAAAGTCCATTTATTAGCATTCTTATATAAAATTCAAAGAGGTTATCACTACATTCTTATTTTTTTTTTTTTTATATAACTTTGGCATATAAATGAAGTAGAGTAAATGATAGTTTTGTTCAAAGTTAAAAGATATAATCTCATTAAAATAAACTTACTAAGCTTAGATTCTGCTGTGACATAATGTTCTTCGCGGTATACACACTTACTCATTCGATACATCAAACTCGCCCACGATTATTTCATTGCATGTATATTTGTAAATAGTTATGAATGCATGCAAACAAACAATATGAATTCATGCAGTAAGCCGCTTTAGCAATAAAAACCGATCAGTTTCTAAAAATATAGCACTGTTTTCAATTACTACCCCAACTTACTATAACACAACCGTAAGAAAATGTTATGTAATATAAAGTTTTGAGTAGATATAAAAACGAAGGACATCCCTAATATTGGTTTAACTTTAAAATATCCACTTAAGTGAATTAAGTAGCATAGCATAGATATGCAAAAATGTCAAACTTCAGTTGTAATTAATTTTTTCATTTGTCAACAATATCTAAACATATTTGTACGCATGCATTCGCGTAGGTATGTATGTCAGCGCAACTAATCTAGTTCTTACAACATCCACATCTATGCACATATGCACTATAAAAATATAATATGTATGTATGTAATTATAATCAATTCGAAATCCTTCAAAACATCTGAATATTGCAAAAATTTAGAACCGGACCTGAAATTTTAGGCGTATTTAGCCATTTCATTCAATGGTAACGAGCAATCAAGTGACACTATTTCATTTTGTTGTCTTATACATATTTACTTTTATTGGTCTAACGTTAAATTTAAAAGCAGTTATTGTTGACTGGCATACAGTGGAACGTTTTCGATGGATATACCTCTATATATGGGATATATATCTATGAGAAGAAGAATTTTTTTTGCATAATTGCAGCACATTTCATTCAAAATATTTTTTTTAACTCCCTGTGTTGCATAACACCCAGAAATAGGGTGAAATATGAAAAAATATGAATACCCTGACTTGTGGACGATTTTTTTATTTATATTTTCCATAGCAAATGTTTCTTATTTTTTTTTTTATAAAAATATATGTAGTTCGTTCAATAGCAAAAATCACCACAATAAATTTTTCAATTGCATATAGAACTCGTTAAAATTAAAGAAGCACCAAAAAATTTTCATCAAAATTTTCAACTTTTCAATTCCATTTCATAGAAAAATTTGCAAACCCTATGTCTTACCATGTTTTAACTACACAACTGGCAAATGTGAAACAAATCAGAGCATAAATACGGTTTTTAAAAGAATTTCGACCATGGCTCCACGTAGCGAGCAAGCCCTCTAACTTGGCTCAAACCGCGCAACTTTTGGCACTTTTTCATTTCAAATGGCACAGAGCGCCAAAATGACACTTTTGAAAAATTAATTTTTAGTACAATTTTGTGAAATCCTTCGTGAGTACAACTTTTTCATCAACTAACATTTGGTTTTTTTAAACTTTATACTTATATTTTTTTACTTTGGTATTGCACTTTTGTTTTACAGACGTGGTTCTTATTTTACTGTTAAATGGGAAAGACAGAAATAATTTTATTTCGATTAAAAAGCATGGCACATGATTTGACAATTTTATTTTTCTGTTTGGTACTTTTTACCACCTTTTTATTAATTAACCAAAATTCGTAAATTGAACATATTTTTCAAATTGAAATTTAAAAATTTTAAATTTAAATTTTGTATACCTACTTGCTTTAGAAAAGCTTAAGGGCAGAAACTCGAAAACAAAATATATCTTTTTTAATTTGAATTATATATTTTTTTTTAATATTTAGTCTGGACCCTCTTTTCATTAAATATGTTTTAACTATTTCTCCTTTTTTAATACCAATTCGACTATTTTCCCCAAAAAAAATTACACCTAAATTTTGGGTTTTTTCTTTTCGAAGTGAACCTGAAGAAAAAATTGAAAAATACTAAAAATTATAAGAAAGTATTTTTGGCTTATTTAAAAAGTTCTTAAAGTTAAATATTCTCTATTTAATTTGTTTTTGATACTAAACACACATTTCATACTTTTCTTCTACTCCAATTTGAAATTTCAAAATTTTTATTATTTATTAAAATTTTGTTTTCCATTTTTAATTTGGAAACTTTTTAAAACAAATTCCCAAAAACAAAATTTTGTTTTATATTTGTTAAATATTTTTAATTTTTAATACAAATTCTTTTCTAAGTAGTCCTGAAGAAAAAAAACGAAAAAGGGTAAAGATGATTAGAAAGTATTTTTAGCATATTTTCAAAAGTTTTAAAATTTTAACTCCAATTTGAAATTTTAAAAGCTTAAGTGGAAAATTTGAATTCCTTTTTAATTTAGAAAACAGAAATGCGAAAACAAAGAAATGTTCTTTCATTTAAACTAAAAAATTTAATTGTTCTATTAAAAATATTGTGAAGTTTTTTTAAATTAAATATCTTTATTTTTTTTAAATTAATTTTAGGTAAATTTTATGGTTTTTGAAATATTTCTTCTATATTGTAGCGTATTTTTTTAGTTTTTCTCTTCTTCAAAATCTTCAAAAAAAAACACTCCAATTTTGTGTTTTCCCTTTTTTCAGCAGCCCTGCTAGCAAGACTATTTTTCGTAAAAATATTTATTCTTACATAACCAGTAAGATAAACGACTTTTAGTTGGAATATTTTTTTTTTTGGCTAAAAGTCTAAAATTACTAACAACTGCGATGACCACACGTCGTATGAGTAACATTTATGCGGAACTATGTACGTATGTACTTACGCCTGTGTGTTTATAATTATTTTAAACATATTTGTTAACATCATAATTATAGCTATTTTAATGTTCGCTTGCAAGATCAATAAACAATTTGTGGCTATATTGAAATACTGTGCACAGCTTGAAACCGACGAATGCGATTATTCTGCAAATATACGAAAACATTTTCATAAAAGCCCCATGCAAGCCATTAAACTCGTTTTATTTGGTTTTGCTTTCATTTGAGGCTTCGTGCGTTTGTGCGTGCGTACGGTAAATTTATTTATATCGAACTATGTGCATTATAGTTAGGCGTGCAAAATGCATAAAAATACATAAACATATGTATATATGTATGTATGAATGTATGTATGTAGATAAATGCGCACAGCAGGCATATAAGAAAAGGTGTGTATGACAGCTTTTGAATATCTGAGGCTTACTTAGAACTTTGCTTCTTGCAATTTGCTTTGCTCGAGTTATTGAACGTGGGAGCATTTTGCACAGATTGTGGGCTACCACTAAACAAATATAAGATACAAAAAACCAAAAAAAACAAAAAAAATAAAACGATATATTTTGATTATTTTTCTTGATGTTATTGCTACAATTGTTGCATATGCATTCTGAATATATGCGATAATTTGCTGCAATTCACGCTTCAAAAGTTGCATATCGAGTTGCCAATTTCTTGGCTAGAATGGTGTGTGCATGTATGTATGTTTATGTCTATGTTTGTATAGTTGTACATACATATATGCATGCTTGCCTTTTTGTTCACTTGCCAAACCTATTTGCATTCGATTTTGTTTGTTTTTGTTTTTTTTTTTTCAAAAAGGAGTTGAGAGCGGATTACCTAAATTAGCTGCTGATATCTATTTGCTTGCTTGTTTGTTTGTATGTATGTAGTACAACATTTTACAATTTCATGATTGATAAATGGTTGGTCGAATCAAACAAGTAGCAAAAGACAGTACCATGAATGATTGAAGTTAATTAGATTTAATCAGTGCATTTGAATGTGTGTTTGTAGTTATTTACATATAAGTATGTAGTTAGTGAATTAGTAATGTCGTGCCCAATATTTATTATTATGGTTTTAAACATATTTTAATTAGGAAAACTTGTATTGGACTATCGAAAGAGTGACAGTTATTAATATGTGTACATGCATACCTACGGTGACCATCCGTCCTGTATTATACGGGACAGTCCTCTTTTTTCATCAATGGTCCTCGTAATTTATTGAAGTGAAACTTCGTATACGAGTTCGGAGATGGTTGCGTTAAATATTTAACACCAAGTCATAAAATCTGTATCGTTCGTTCGATTTTAAAAGATGAGGTGTCAAATGAAAGGGCTTGACCTGTAGATGTGTAATATGATTTTAGTTTTTTACAGGGTTGCCATATATACGAAAATAAAATTCAAATTATTTATTAAAATAAGTAAAGTATCAAAATATGGGTATCAAAAGAAATGGTTTTGAATAATGATGAAAATGAAGATGAAGATGAAGATGAAGGTGAAGATGAAGATGAAGATGAAGATGAAGATGAAGATGCAGATGAAGATGAAGATGAAGATGAAGATGAAGATGAAGATGAAGATGAAGATGAAGATGAA